GGGGGGGGGGGGGGGGGGGGGGGGGGGGGGGGGGGGGGGGGGGCCAGGGAATGACTCGGCCTGACCCGGCCCCAGCCCCAGCCCGCCCCCATGACCCCAGCTGCACGGAAAGGCAGACAGCGTTGGGGCTGCCCCACGCGGGGCGTCACCGTCACTGCCGCCTCTCTGCGGCCACCCCGGGCTTCTCATGTGGGTCCAATGTCTAGACAGCACCCCCCTCCCCCAGCCCCAAAGAGGAAGACTGGGGATCCGGTTCTCTGCGGCCCGTGGGAGAGAAGGCTCCGGCAGAGGTAACCAACAAACAGCTCCGTGCTGACAGCTGACATCAGAAACCAAATGTTACTCAGCCGTGTAAAGTAAGTGAAGAAAATGGCGCTAACAGGGACTTACTCAAAGAGGACCCTTCAGCCTTCACCATCTTATCCTCTTCCACAGAGCCACCACCACCAGCTTCTGAACCGTACCGTTATTCTGTCCTTCCTGGAAGCCCGAAACTCCCAGCTTCAGGTGACCAAAGGCTCCTAAACAGGCCTAACTGGGAACGGGGCTCTAATGGCGCTCCAGAGCCCTGTCAACTGGGAGGCCAGAGGTCGGCATGTATCTGCACCACAGTAACAGCCCTGACCTTATTTCACCTGACAACATGGACGGCGACCAGCTGGCGTTAAAAGCACAGCGGCGATAATGGCCATTTCTCCTGCCTTTTTATTGGCCTGTATGTTACATCTTAACACCCACGACAGCGCGGACTTGAAGCCAAGCAGGAGAGCCGTTCCACCGACCCCAGACCATTTGCGCGCAGAGAACTCGCGGGCCTTGTCAAGCCAAGACGCAGGGGTCAGGGGTCAGGGGTCGGCCAGCGTCTTAACAGCAAAGGAACGAAGAAAGAACGCAAAAAAATAATAATTCAGATCACGAAACTCATCGATCATGTTTTATTTACCAGAGAAACAATAATATTATACACGAATGGGGAAATATAAATGGCAATTTAATTATATACAGCCACCGAAAATAAGGCCTTTTTCGCATGACTGGGAATCTGCTGGAAAAAGACCATCAGTCACAGGAGGGAATTGACATCTTATCAAAAACACGAAGCACAAAAAAAAGGAAACACCCGGTATTGCTTGTGAAATGGATTTATCTGTATTTTTCTTCATCCCTCTGTTATGTTCCTTACGATCTGTTTACAATAAAACGTGTTGTATATGGCGTCGCATCTGCCCAAAGAACCCGCTGTACATTTTAATTAATGACCGGCTTACTATTTGCTTTGGCTGTACTTTAGTGTTTATTTAAATATTGACTCGACTTTGTTAATTGATACCGAGGCTGGCACAGCGGGCGATGCCATTTTCACGTCCCCTCGTCCCTGTTCCAAACGGCATCCGTGTCGTGGGTCCGTCTCTCTCCCCGAGGAGCCTCCCTGTCCAGCGGTCCGGAAGAAAACAGCGTTCAACCGCATGATGTGAACCACACTACTCAGCACGGATACTTTCAACACAACTATCATAACAATAATAATAATGACAATAATAATAATATCAGTAATAATCGTGACTGTTGAGCCGCATCTGCTGAGCCGTCGGACGCGAATGCACAGCCAGCACATCCCCGACTGATACTTCAAAGCCGGCGCTCGCGCTCATTTATGTCTAACATAAACATGGCTGCCGTGCTCGTGCATATGTCAGCCCCTCTGCCGACCCCTCCTCTCCGCCCACAGCCTGGTTAAAGGCTGACACACACGTCTACAGCGGCCTCAGGAAACCACCGGCTGGGGGGGTTGGGTAGCCGGGGTCAGTGCCCTGGTACGCTGGCCCCCACGCCAGCTGACGGCGAGGCGGAGGCGCACGCAGAATGCGAGGCACGCGGTGAGCAGATGAGACTGACGACAGCTACGAGTAAAGTGTGAAGTAAGGTTCCCGTACAGAAACACACCCAGCGTGCAGATGCAGGCATATTTTTTCCTTTTATAAGACAATTATAAAACAGGTCATAATTTCATCGTAACACCCAATGACCCGACAACTGACCCGAATCCATTAGTAAACTATGTATCATCCATGTCAGCCAGTGCAACAACCCAGCCTGAGGTTTCACTGAAATCCAGGGATCCGAAACTGAGGCCTGAGTGCAGCACCGTGACCGAACATGAGCCTCTCGCACAGATTCCTCACCTTCACCAGGGAAAATGCAGCTGGCCCTTCGAGCTGCCGGAATGCCCCAGAAGCAGCGAGGCTCTCTCTGCCGAGCCACCTGATCGCACGGGGCCTTCTAGACGGCTTACGGCCACGTGACTCCTGCCACTATTCCGGCTTCCTCTGGAACGTCCATCGCCTGGGTGGACCGTCGACATTACACGAAACGGCGCCTTCATACAGCAGGTAATGAGAACGGTGTGACCTGCATCACTCTGCAGCCTGATACTAGGTGCTTTTTCTGCTCATATTCCGGGACTCCGGCACAACAGACACATCGGAGCTGCCCACGTGTCCAACAAGGGCATAGTGGAAGGTATGAACACCAGGCAGTAGGGTGGGACACTATATTCCATGAAAAATAAAACACCACCCACTTAACAGACACTGACGTGAACCATGACACCCTCCACACACCCCGTCTCCCTCGGCAGAAAATCAAGGTATACAGCAATTTATCGCTAATTCCATTAAGGGTGGGACAGACGGAGGAAAGCGATATTACCATCTCGCCCCCACCTCCCCAGTGGTGGCAGTTACGAGCAGCGAGTATGTTCCGTCACTTGAAGCGGGCTAGCCCGTATCGCCACTAACAGCTAATTTTAGGCGAAGGGGTGGCTGCCAATTTAGTCGTCATTCAAACAGACACTTCTATGGAGAGACTCACTGGAGACCCGTAATCTCCGAGAGAGCAATGCCAACTTCAGTTTCATTAGAACAATAAAGAAAATACTTTGGGCTATTTCGACTTTGCCTTCATTTGTGGTGCAGACCCAAAAGAAACATCAGATTCATCAGGAAAAAAACTGTTGCTTGTTTGGAGTGCTTGGGACACCGGGTTCTTGTGAAGTACATTACGAGCAAAACAAGTCAATTAAGCGCACGCACACACGCATACACGCACACACATACATATATATATATATACATACACACATATATATGTGTGTGTGTGTGTGTGTGTGTGTGCATATACATGCATTTTTTAAGAAAAAACTTCAAAAAGGTCATCATTAATAGGGGCTCCAAACCAGACTGGGAGTTTATGTCTTTTTTATTTATTTATTGATTGTTTCTTTCCGAATGGCAGTCAGGGAATCTGGTCGTGTATTGCTGCAGTATGAATGCACACATGCCGGTTACGCACGCAGCTCGATTAAAACACACAGGTCATCTGTTTGACGCTTCTCTAAAAGCGACAGGTGGTGTATTTCCAAGGCACATCGTTACAAGCCTCTGACCGGGAGGATAACTGATGTCTGAGTGTCTTTTCCCACACGCTGTCACCGTGTCACCAAACCCAGGAAGGCCAGCGACATGACAGTCACAGGAGGAACGGCTCGGACGCCGCAGGCCGTACCCACGGCCAATGATGAAAAATACAAGTTAACATTCATATGTAATGCTCACTGGAAGGGGGGAACACCCCATTCCCCATTCCCCCCCCCGCTTCAACCTACTCACTGTTTTTCTTGCAAAAAGGCATGTCAGCGATTCCGTGGATGAGTCAGCTGCAGCTGACTGTCTGTGGGCTCCATGCCGGCCACCTGGGTTTACCGTAGGCCTCTCCTACGTGCAGCATGTGCTGCTTACGTAATCCACTGGGGGGTGATCCCAGGCAGTTTCTTTTTGTAAGAAACCATCTTCTGGATAAGTGCACTGGGATGCAACGCTGAAAGCATGACTTCGGAGAGATGTATGACAGCAAGCTCACAGAGGCCAGAACGAAAAAAACTATTCTAATGACAATAAGACGATACCACACTATCACATGCCTGCCAAAGTGAGCTTCATTTTATCAAACATAGCTCTATGTGCGTGTCACATTCATTACTACTTTCGTGTCTGTCAGACAGTCAGATATATATTACATTATGGAGAACAAATGTCCCCACAATGTGTTAAAAACCTATTATTTTGAAGTTGTGGGCTTTTTGGTCCCCACAAGGGGAAAATCTGTGACTGCAATCAAAAAACTAATATTTTGTTTGGTTGCATATGGTTAAGGGTAGGCTGGGTAGGGGTTAAGGTTATCATAGTTGGGATTAGCCCAAAGAAATGGATGGACGGTCCCCACAAAGATATGACTACAGGTGTGTGTGTGTGGATACGCAAGAACAGTGTCTGTGTGTCAACTTCTTTCCTGATGATCAAAGCCTGGGATTGCTAATGCCCATTTGGAAAATAATGTCTTGCGTGACAAAAGTACCAAGAGCAGTCAGAATCCGAGCACAATCCCAGACATGAAAGAGTCTGTTTGAAAACCACAGCTCCAATCACACAGCCACTAGAACATTTCTAAATGAACATGTGTATGACAACTCTGCCACACAGAGCAGCTAATAAATACCGTTTTGACCAGGGCAAGGTCATGAACGGCCGCTGGACCAGAGGGGGTGCTGGGGCACCGGTGGCACACGGTTCTCTGATGTGCCGGCCGTCTCATTCAAACCCAGGACACAGACGGCCCGTTCCAATGCTGCCTCCAACAGTGCCACCGAGGATGATCGCTTCCAAAGATGTGGATTCAAAGCGGTGAGAACCAGAAAGAAATGACATTCAACAGACGAAGAAGAATCTGAAAAGTTAAAAGTCTGCATGATCAGGCTAAAGCCCAGGAGATATTAGTCTGAAAAATACAGCAGGATGAAAAATCAGCCCTGTCATATATTTGGAGTTACATTAAAACAAATACATTAGAGCTACTGGGTGTAATGCCAAATTATAATTTAGGAAAAAAGGCTCTGTACCCTGGCCAAAAAGAAAATCAATCGCCTCATTTGGAACCATTACTTACAACAACGCAATTCATTTATGTACCAATTATCAATTTTGCTGAGCCCTCTCCTGTCTGGAAAGATGAAATCACGGCACATCACTGGTCTATTTTCCCAATTTCAAAACTGTCCAACTATCCAAATAATTGTTTTGGTTTATTAAGGTGGCTTCTCCATTTAATCTAAGTTGTAAGAAACAATTACATATCTTTGTAAATATGCTCTTCCCACCCCATATAAAAGTCCAACTGGAGATTATCATAAAAAAAATAAATGAAATACGAGTCCATCTATTCCAAACATAAGTAACCATAGTACAAACATCCAACGAGGCATAGAGGACAAACAAAAACATAGCAAACAGTTAATCCCCATGGCTTAGCTTTTGCAGACCGAGGGCCAATCGGCTGCCTCCGTTACTTAACGTAAACATTAGCTTTAGCACTAGCTTCCCGGGCACCTGCTTTGTCGAGAACGGCACATGGAAAAGCAATTAATACATCAACTTTTTAGACTTTAATCTCAATGATAACATGTTAAATACCACCAGACCCTTTAAAAGGTAACTTGAGGACCACTAAATCCTATTCTTTATGTAGAGGAGGAAACGGGAATTTAAAGAAGAAGAGAAAAGTTAAGTGGTTCCCTGCAGCAAAATGTGGACATACACATTTATTTCATTATTATAACAGTCTATGCCATGAAGTAATTTTACACGGGAATTAAAAAAGTAATTAAACAAGGGGATTCTTGCTGAGGAGGACAGAGTATGTGGAGAAGGGCTGGCGACTGTGAATAGAAGAAGATGCCGTTTTACTTACAGTTGGCATGCAATCGCCATATTTACCCTGCGTGTTCTCGACTCGCATTTCACAGAAAGTCGAATGGAAATATTTATCTAAGCCCCAATCAGAAAGGACATGAATCATTTTGAAACCATTACGAGTTAAATCCTAAAAATTACGCCTACTTCAAATATGTAGCCCTTGGCTGTTATCACCTCATAGCAAAAGCAAAACAAGCATGAATTATTCAATTAACTAGCTTTAAAAAATGGGATTGCTATTTGTGTCAAGGAACTCTGCCATCAAGTCAGCAATCAAGCCAGGCCAAACAGTCATATATACGTATGTATGAAATACAGGAAAAATTACAAGGCAGTAATTTATTTCACCTGGCTCCTAGAAAGCTAATCTCTTTGTTTCCATTCGCAGGAATGCAGCAATCATGTCATTCCGGGTTAAAAGGTCACACGAATGGGGAAAACAGCTATCGGCACCAAAATCCCTTCTAAATCTGCACGTAACTGTCGTTAACAGCAGATCTGGGACTGACCCCAAACAATACTGCATAGAAACAGCCCACTCGCATAAATCGGGCAACATGAAAATCCAAGCTCAAGGCCCCTGTTTATTTTTCAGCTGACGGCAAACGGACGACAGGCTAAACAAACGCGCAGCCCGTCACAGGCGCGGCTGAAACGCTGCAGCCTGCGTGGGACTCTTTGTATATAATGGATGCCGGTGCCATTGTTTGCTTACATAGGATACTGAAGAAATATATAAATATCAGCATGCAGAGATGGAGGAGCCATTAGAAAAGAGTGAAATGCACCTGATCAGCAGCTGTGACCTTTTCACCAACCGTGCTCACTGTCCATTACCAGGATGGTCCGTTAGTGTCATAAAAACACTATCCAGTGCATTAATCATAAACAGTTCCAAAGGGATCAAAGCATCAATTCGCTTCTGCTGATTTTACTGACTGAATTTTTTTATTGAATAACACCAGTTGGCAGGAAGATGGCGGAGACGCAGGGCTGACCCCAATTCCCGGGGTGCCGTCACCACCGTCCAAGGTAGACCCAACGCCAACGGCCCTGACCGACACACAGGAACACACTGTCCACAGCCAAACCACCAGCGGGGCAAAAGATGGGGACAGTCATGCACTCTAATACAGACCTCAAATGAACCCACAATCTCACGGGGGCCTTTTACGCAGAGTGTATGTATAATAATAAGCAGCAGGGTTTCATAACAGTGCCCCCCCCCCCCCCCCCGTGAGACAGAGAGAAAGGCAGAGTCAGGGAGATAGAGTAAGGAGGTGAGCGATGGGACCCACCAGTGACGGTTTTGGTCTTGACCGGGCTGCTGGCGTAATCCGAGGCCTGGTTGGACGGCTGCTTGACCAGGGGGGTGCTGCCTACAGAGGCCTCATCCTCCCTTCTCTTGGCCACAGGCACCGTCATGGGAACAGCTCCGGGGGCCTGCAGTGACATCACATCACCCCCCCGACCCCGGTCACCTGACAGACACCAGCAAAAAAAAACATGGCCTCCGCAAACATAATTTGAGTATGACATAAAACAAGCACAATGTTATTGAAAACAGTTGTCCAAAATAAAATAACATAAAAATTAATACAAGCCATTGCTGAGAACCATCCAGGAGGGGAAATTACATCATGAAATAATTGCAGGTTAAACGGCTGCATTAAAAGCCTAGTTGCGCTTGTGCTAAAACAAGAACAACATGTGTGCAAAGTATCAGGAGGGATTGCAGCCTGAGTTCGTTTCAACCTGCTCCAGTGATTAGGGTATCTGGCCTAATCGGAGAACATAAAAGCTCAGAAAACAGGGAACACGCTGGGCCGCTCACGGCTCCAAGGGCAACACAGAGGCTATGGCTGTTAGTCTCGGAAGGCCTCACACGCCGCTGGCAGCTCACGGTCAGGCCTGAAATGGGCGCTGGAGGCCTGCCACCAAGATTCAGCTGCAGGGAGCCCAGGCCAAATGCCTACCGGAGGCACACAGAAAATCCCACACAGGGTCACAGGCTGTCCCACAGAGACACTCATGGACACACAGGCTGTCCCACACAGAGACATACATGAACACACAGGGCATCCCACACACAGTCACTGGCCGTCCCAAACAAAGACACACAGGCCGTCCCACAGAGACACTCATGGACACACAGGCTGTCCCACACAGAGACATACATGGACACACAGGCTGTCCCACACAGAGACACACATGGACACAGGCCGTCCCACACAGAGACACACATGGACACACAGGGCATCCCACACACAGTCACTGGCCGTCCCACACAGAGACACACATGGACACACAGGGCATCCCACACACAGTCACTGGCCGTCCCACAGAGACACACATGGACACAGGCCGTCCCACACAGAGACACACATGGACACAGGCCGTCCCACACAGAGACACTCATGGACACACAGGCTGTCCCACACAGAGACATACATGGACACAGGCTGTCCCACACAGAGACACACATATACAGTGATACCTGTGAACATACATGCTGCCATGGTCTCAACACGAACCCACAGTCATACCATCTACACACCCACACGGCTACACACACAGCCACACAAATACGCCAAGATTCTCAGAGATCAGAAGTCTTTCCCACACACAGCCCTGCAGAAACCTATACACTCAAACCAACAAGCACTATGAGAAGAGACAGATTCGTTGAGCAGGGAGATGCTGTTCAAGCTAATGCTTGGCTAGTCTCTAATCCCTTTAAGTGAAAACAGACAAACTCATCCATCACACACTTTTTAACCCTTACAGCTGTCTCTCGGGAATCACAGTACACATTAAAAACAACATCTACCTACAATGCATGGATATATCAGCCATTTGCAGAAAGCAGTAAACATGGTCAATGACCACAGTGTTTGTGGTACAAAAACCGGCAAAAACAACAATACAGATCTTTCTTGGGTTTTAAAGTCTCTCATAAACTACTTGCCTGGATGTAAATGTACAGCGTTTCTTTACGTAGATATGCACAACAGGCGTACAGCCATCTGTCAGGCACGGGGGTCTGGCAGCCGCAGCTCACGGTACCGGCCAGTCCGCCCCTTAAGCTATCCTCCACAATGAGGATGGGCATCATAACCTCTACAGCTAACATCACGATGGTGACATCACGACCGTCAGAGTGCTTATAGAGATTAAGATGGCAGTGATGATGCAGGGGACCGTCTCAGGGATGACGAAGGTAATGAATTTTTTTTTAACCCAAACCTGTAACTGATGTATGTTTGTCTAATACTACTGATACAGCTGACCAGCAAACCTCTAGGGAGGTCATCTTTAGAGGAATGACGTTAAACCGTTTTTTTTTTATTCTGTGGAAAACAATGGATCGATCTGTCGACCAGATTTACTAATGATTATTATAAATGTTGCGGACTGATACTTTGTTCAAGATGGTGATGAAGATACTGCTACTGTTCATAATAATGATGTTGGATGATTTTTACAGTGATGGTGATGATGTTGTTAGAGGGTCCTGCTTTTCACGCTGGCTTTGCGTTAAACGGAGCTTTGGCAGCACAATAACTAGCCCTTCGATGAGTAATGACAAAAAAACATGGGAAGACTTGTCAATGGAGACGCCTGGAGAGACATGGCAGGAACATCAGTGGCATGCAGTGAGGCAGGGGCGGCGCGCAGTGAGGCAGGGGCGGCGCGCAGTGAGGCAGGGGCGGCGCGCAGTATTCGACACGCCGCGGTAAAAAGGGAACACACTGCTGCGTTTCATCACAAACTCGGGTCCCTGTCTGACGTGCCGATCCTCGCGCGAGATCACATTATGGTTCACTTACCACTTGTTCCCCAGCAGTATGGTGCAGTGTTATGCAATCCCCCCCGGTCTACAGAGTCTCAGCTAATGAGCTTTCCACTGCTCATCCCACGCCGAGATCCCAGCTCGGTGTCCAAAATCGCATGTGCAAAAACACACAAGCTGTAGTATCTGTAAAGTGTCCACATCCCTGGCCAGTCACTAGCTACACCTTCCACATCCCTGGCCAGTCACTCGCTACACCTTCCACATCCCTGGCCAGTCACTCGCTACACCTTCCACATCCCTGGCCAGTCGCTCGCTACACCTTCCACATCCCTTTCCAGTCACTCGCTACACCTTCCACATCCCTGTCCAGTCACTCGCTACACCTTCCACATCCCTGTCCAGTCNTCCAGTCACTCGCTACACCTTCCACATCCCTGTCCAGTCACTCGCTACACCTTCCACATCCCTGTCCAGTCGCTCGCTACACCTTCCACATCCTTGGCCAGTTACTCGCTACACCTTCCACATCCCTGTCCAGTCACTCGCTACACCTTCTACATACCTGCTGACAATACATTTCTCTCTCTGTTTACTTTGGACATCTTACCGGCTGATGTCAGGGACAGATGATGGGGCACACGCTTGCGCTTCCAGTTCACCCTCCCACCTCCCATCAAAGAGGCAGCTATAGCCAGACATACTGATGCATAACTTCATATTGGCTGTCTTTGATCATCCGGCCTCAGCCATGATGTATAAGTATATTTTGATTTATGGACAATATGAATGGTGTGAAAACCACCGCTGGTATTTTTTAAAGTCCTAATTTAGGAGCTGAAGGAACCCCAAGGGAAGGTCCTCAAAGAGACGAGCCTTCAGGGAGTGGGGGGGGGCTTCTGGCGGGTCTCATTCCATCTGTTCTTGCCAAGTCGCGAGCACTGGAGCCCTGATCCAGTACAAGGACACATCCCATGCTACCATCCTTCAAACCAAACCGCCCCCCCATTCTGAGCAGCTGAAAAGTTTGGTGGGAAAAATAAACTAACATAAAAAGGTCACGTGCAGAGCAAAGAATACAAAACTTGTCCACGCAAACACAGGACATCGTCCACCTTTCTGTCGACACGTCTCTGCTCAACCCTGGAAGCCCTCGGTCCGCCAAGGAACAAAAACCCAAAGAATGAAAAGAGGTATAAAACCCACCGCGAATATTAAAGCAGGACAAAAACATACTCATATATGGAAAAACCTGCACCACACATGAAATCAATCTATGGGCCCCCCTCCCACATGAGCATGGTACACTCCTAGCACACGGTCACTACCGTGACGTCTGTCAAACAAATATTGGGCCGCTGTGGACCGAGCCATTAATAAGAAAAACAGGGTGTTCAGCAGAGGCCAGGTGACGAGTGAGGCAGACGGACTGAGGCTAGAGACTTACCTGCTGGGATGAGCGACTGCCACTGCCCCCCCGCTGCGGCTGGTGCAGAAGCCAGGTGCAAAAGACAGGGTCCACGTTGACCGCAATGCCCTGTACGCTGACCAGCAGCACGGCACCTACAGGAGAAAACAAGCACGGTAATCAGGGTCTCTGTAAGACGGCCAATCAGGATTTACTTTACATACTGTATTTAGTCAAAGTCTCTCATCTTTGAAAGGAAATCAGGAAACAGCCCCTTACATCCAAAATCAGAAAATCAAATAATTACCACACTACACACACAAACACAGCCCATGTATTCATATCTTTGTGGGGACTCTCCATTCAATTATATGGGCATAACCCTAATCCTAACCATGGTAACCCTAACCTTTACCCACCCTTAACCAGAAGTAACCAAACAAAATAAGACTTTGGGCTATTTTAGTTTTTTTGATTGCATTCACAGATTTTTTATAAAATTGAGTATCCCCTTGCGGGGACCAGTAATATATGCAAAACTGCACACGGACTCTCGGCTTATCCAAAAAGCAAACACATGACTAAAGATCTATGTTTATAAATTCATACATAATGACTCCTATCACTAGGTATTACTGTACTGGTTTACAGAGGAGGAAAATCTGTCATTTCATTCTAGGCCTCCTGTCTGGCTCAGTCAGGGAAGGAAAAATGGGCTCGGCGGCTGTTCCGATCGCAGCTCCAGTGTCATTTTCCGGAAGCAGACAGTGTAGCCAGCAACCAAGAGGCCCTTATGTCAGGCAAGGACTCTGTGCTGGCTTCCCTACTTACTCTGACCTGTGGACCGACCCACACACACACGCAAACACACACCCACCCACACCCACACACACGCACACGCACACACGGTTCAGTATGCAAACAGGCCTACAGACAGACTATAAATGAAAAGTACTCGTCACTGCTGCAGTCCGCTTTCCCGTGGGCAGAGCTGGACAGGACCAAAACTGGCAGGAAACAAAGGGAGAAGTTTCTTCCTACAATTAAAGGAAATTAAATAAATTGTATATACAGAAAAGAATTGGGGGCGGCATGCTGGTGCAGTGTTTAGGATGCAGTGTTTAGGATGCAGTGTTTAGGATGCAGTGTTTAGCACTGTCCCTCTCATCTGGGATCTGAGTTCGAGTCTCCGCCACAGTTCTATGTGCGAGGAGTTTGCATGTTCTCCCCACGTCGTCATGGGGTTTCCGCCGGGTATTCCTGTTGCCCCCCACAATCCAAAAAAATGCTGAGGTTAATTGGAGTTACCATACTGCCTGTAACTGAGTAACTGTGAGTGACCGGTGTGTGAGTGTAGGTTGGCACCCCATCCTGGGCTGTTCCCTGCCTTGTGCCCTGCGATGGGTTGGCTCCCCATCCTGGGCTGTTCCCTGCCTTGTGCCCTGCGATGGGTTGGCACCCCATCCTGGGCTGTTCCCTGCCTTATGCACCCATAGCCTCCAGGACAGGCTCTGGATCTCCCATGACCCTGAGTAGGACAAGCGGTTTTAGAAAATGGAGGGATGAATGGAAGGACGGATGGATGGAAAAGAATTGTTGGCAGACCAAAAAAACAAAAAAAACAAAAAGACTTCTCTGAGAAAGCCACACTGAAGCAGATAGCCACACAAAGTGACTTTTAACACTACAAAAAAGTTCCTTCAAACTGGCAAAGAAATCTGAGACATAAGTATTTTGGTTTGGTAAAAAGCATCAGTAAGCATTAACACTGTCACACCCACCGCCAGCATATTCAGTTTACACGGCAAGGGCACAGTTTGTTCCAATTGTGTTCAAAGAGTGTCGTGCAAAGCCAAAAATAACATTTTCTTTTGATAAATCTCTATGAAACTTAAGCCTTTCCGGGGGTTTCGCTTATTCTTAAATAATAATCTTAACCAACAATACGAGCCTGAGGTAATGCATTAGGATTCTATCAATAATGACTACCATGCCTTTGGGATCAGACACAATTCACTGACGCACTGTGGAACAGTCCATTCTAAAGATATGGGGGAGAGCATTGTGCTCCTCTGATGACTTTCAAAGCATGGAGGGGCTTTGGCGCGTGCCAAATCTTCCATTTCAGGCCCTGAGGCAATGCCATATCCATGACGGCTCTGGCTAGTGTGTACTGAGCGCGCACACACACACAGACAGAGGCGCACACACACACACACACACACACACACACACGCACGCACACACACACACACACACACAATAAAAAGTTGGAAGGTGAATCTTTTTAATTTACAGACTGTTTTAACATTTACACTCACAGAACACCACACATTGTAAAAACTAAGTGCTGCGTTTAGAATTTCGAGATCTTCCCCCCTTCAGCCCCCAGTCCCCACTGTAACGAAACACACTGCTGTCGTACTCAAAACGGCTGACAGGAAGACACATTCCGCTCCATTAAAGCAGCAAGGCATGATGGGCCGGCTCATCAAAGCCAGGAAGGCGCCCGGTGTTATTCTTTAGTGACCAGCGCACTGGTGGGGCGATTAAGGGCCGAGTGATGACAATAATAACAGAAGTGTTTTGCTAACTTCGCCTGGAAGCCTCCTGCACACGGAACTGGCTCCTGAATTTCTCAGAGGCTTAAACAGGCCCACAGATCTCTGTCACCAAGGGCCCATTAATGTCCAGGGGCTGCCATTCGTGGCACAAGATTAATAGGAGGAGAGGAAAAATAAATATGTTTAAAACCTACACATGCCCCCCCGTGTTTATTCACGGCTGACATCAGAGCCCTAAAGACGCCGTGGAGTCAGGCCCAGATGGGTGGCCTCGCTGAAGCCTGAGCAGAATGACAGTGTGGAGCAGCATGAGAGAGGGCACGCGTATAATCACCGGCAGGAAGGGGACAGTGACAGCTGGAACAAAGCTGTACTTCTGTGGGGGGGGGGGATGTCGGTGTGAAAAACAAACAGGAAAGTGTCGAGCTGGATAAATTCTGACGGCTCTGGTCAACACCGAAGCCAAGTAGCAAAACCAAACATTACTGCACATGTGCTAAAGGGCAAATGAGCTCATGACTAGAAGGTGTCAGGGAGCCGGCAGCCACTGCACAGGTGGGAGGGGGGGGGGGGGGGGGGTGCAATTCAGCCCCACTGATATCAGAGCGGATACTCAGCTATCAGTCTGACATCTATTAAAATGGGGGCCTTGAACCATCACAGGGTGGGGATGGGAGGTATTCGGGGGGGGGCAAAAAGGAGTGGAACTGAAAAGGCCAGATTTAGGACTACAGACACAGATGATGCAGAGAAAATGTGCTTTTGGGGGTAACAGCTGCAGCGATGATGATGCAGACGCACCTGGCATCTGCCTGCGCAGACGAGCAGCTCTCCCCCCGACGCCTGGCCTTCCTGCTGCTGGAATGTGATTGGTGGGGGGGGGGGCACACGTGTAAACCAGCTGTGTGCGAGGCGGGTGGCACCAGTGAAGTCTCTGTAACCATACAGTTCAGTAGGTGATTCCAGGCACCTGGGTCGTAATGGGGGGGGGCGGGGGGGTAGGGGGTGTTATGCACCGTCAGACTGAGGAAGGCGATGGAAAGCAGCTTGAGCTACCGCAGGTTTTAAGTTTACATCCGATCCGAATACAAGAATCTCACCGGCCAAACTTACTTAGTTATATGTGACATGAACATCCATTTTCCCCAATATGACAAATGACACCTGTAAACCTGTATTTATGCCTATTACTCAAGTTACCCGAGTTGAATCCCTTTCACAGGAAATGTAAAGCCACCCCCCCCCCCACACACACACACACACACAGATAAACAGTCACGCTTACTTAGTTATATGTGACATGAACATCCATTTTCCCCAATATGACAAATGACACCTGTAAACCTGTATTTATGCCTATTACTCAAGTTACCCGAGTTGAATCCCTTTCACAGGAAATGTAAAGCCACCCCCCCCCCCACACACACACACACACACACACCCGCCCCTGCAGGCTAGGAAAACCAGCAATCCCAGAGTTCACCACCGGGGGCTCCCTGGATAAAGGGAAGAAGATTATCCTGTGAGTTGTTACTCCACAATCACTGACAGTGAAGGCAACACAACCATGTGACTATCTGTGCACAGCTACTTGGCCTGAAAGCCGAGTGCTTGGTCACTGGTACAAATTCACAGTGCTACCTGATCCACCTTCAACCAGAAATCTAACTGATAGATCACTTCATCAAATGCCAGACTGATAAACGCCTTCGAACGTAAAAACTGGTTCGGCCCTCGACCCCAGTAACCAGACAACCATACGACATGGTCGCAAAACAGCCCAGGAATGGAACCTGTGGGTCTCTCCCCTCCTGCTGGAATTCAGCATCCAGTGCATGTCCATCATGCCACTGGGATGAAGACCCTTCAATCCCGCAACAAACCCAAACCTGTCATCGTGCAGGCAGTGGCTCCCACACCAGCCAGTGAAATTCTCCCCTTAGCAACATCCTTTGCCATCTGTTCACACAATGATGTCATCAATTTTTCTATGGATCCTATGTGATTACTTTCCACCCACGGTTCATGCATGTCATCGAGCGTCACCCTTTAAATGCAGGATGACCGGTAGCCCTGGAGGTCCAGCGTCAGCGTGGAACAAGAGGAGCTTTATCTGTGTCCAGATGTTGATAAGATTGGCATGGAAAGGAACATCCCAGCATTCATAAATCCATATTAACCAATTAAACGGAGAAGAGCAAATAGACCACAATGCGCATGTTGCCATGGCAAAAAGCGGGATCGGTATTCAGACCATTTCAGCTGTTATCTGTGCTGTTATAGGGGAACCTAGCATTTCCTGATTGGACTCGTGCAGGCAGAAAGTCCACTGCCTACTGTAATGTGACCCGGCACACTTTGTGGGATCTCAGCTAGTAATGGAGCGGGACAAATCTCATTAGATGCCGTTTGTTTTTGAGTGCAGTGAAACGGCAGTGACTGGCATCCCGTCCAGGGTGTATCCCAGCCTTGTGCCCGACGTTGCCCAGGACAGGCTCAATGCACCCGGGCACCCTGACCAGAATTAGCAGCTAAAAGATGGACGAAACCGCAGTCTTTCAGGGAAGAAATAAAATATGTCTGTCTTTCCC